CGTCCTGCTCAGCCCGCCAGCGTCCTGCTCAGCCCGCTGCCGGCTGAGTGAATGGAATCCCAGACCGGCAGTGGGCTGAGCAGAGCCAGCGGCTGGACCCCAGACTGGCAGTGGGCTGAGCGGGGCTGGTGGCTGGAACCCCAGACAAGGATCCCAGGCAAGGATCACACTAAATTGATAAGATCTGCATTTTAATTTTATTTTAAATGAAGCTTCTTAAATATTTTAAAAACCTTATTTACTTTAAATACAATAATGGTTTATTTATATAATATAGACATAGAGAGAGACCTTCTACAAACATTAAAATGTATTACTGGCATGGGAAACCTTAAATTACAGTGAACTTGGCACACCACTTCTGAAAGGTTGCTGACCCCTGGTATAGAGTGACCATATGTTGTACTAAGATTCTCTTGCTTTTTTTCCCAGTGTGTCAGTATCCGAAGAAGTGGGCTGTAGTCCACGAAAGCTTATGCTCTAATAAATTTGTTAGTCTCTAAGGTGCCACAAGTTCTCCTGTTCTTCTTTTTTTAGTATAGCTTTTGCCAGCCCAGAGGTTGGGCAGCCAATGTCTTACGTTTTCACATAAATCCTAAGGACGGCCCTGCTTGTAGCTTAATAGAATGAAACTTTTACTTTCAAGAAGATCATGTGATTTCCAGGAAAGGAAGTGCCATATTTGGGCAGGACCAGTAGAAACCACTTGCATCACCACAGCTATACTAGAAATATGCTCTGGTGAAGTTTCCTGTTGTTGTTTTATCAGTCCACTCTGATTGGCTACAGGCTGTGATCCCAGGGCCACTGTTGCCAATGAGCTGGGCTGACGACACGTTCCAGAAGAGTATAAAAGGGAGACTCCTTGCTGGAAATACTTTGATATTTCAACTATTCACAAAATCCCTGGTAACATCGTCTGGTAACAGCAAAGGTAACAGATCTGTTTTTTATAGGTTCTATTAATGGATCAGAGCTGGGGAGAAGTGGGAGGAGGGAATTGCAATTAAGAGATTTGGCAGCTTCTTGGGAAAAAGCAAGCAGAATTAATCACAATCCCATAAAGCTGCCTTCAGTAGCTTCTTTGGAAACAACAATGCAGTTTTGAATGGGTGCCAGGAGATACAAACGTTGGTTGGATTTCTTGGTAATTGGTGCACTGGGGTGTGTGTGTGTGCGCATTGGGTGTGTGTGTGTGTGTGTGTGCGCGCACACTGGGGTATGTGTGTGTGTGCGCACGTGGGGGGGTGCACTAGGGCAGAGGTTCTCAAACTAGGGGTTGGGACCCCTCTGGGGGTCGTGAGGTTATTCCATGGGGGGTCACGAGCTGTCTGCCTCCACCCCAAACCCCGCTTTGCCTCCAGCATTTATAATGGTATTAAATATATTTTAAAGTGTTTTTAATTTATAGGGGGGGGGTGTCACACTCAGAGGCTTGCTATGTGAAAGGGGTCACCGAGAGATTTTATGGCAGTGCTGCAAATTCACTTGCAGGATGGAAGCTAGAGAAATTCCTTTTTTTACACTCTGATTCCCAGCTGTGCGTGTACTGTAGCTTTGCAAATCCGTCTTTCTCCTCCTCCTCTCTATTTTCTTGTGGTTTGCCGAGGTGCTCTGAGGCACGTTCGCCTATATCTGCAAAGGCCTTTGAGATCCTCAGATGAAAGGCCTGCAGAAGTGTATCTCAAAACGCTAAATATATTATAACGAGACGAGACTCATACCTCAGCCTGCAGCTGTGACTTCCCCCTTCCTCCCTCTATGAATGTGAGCATTACTCAGCTGATTTGCACCATGTTTGCAATTCAGAGAAGGGAGCAGGGAAGAAGGAATAATACAGACTTCTTGTGTTTCAGCGCTTATATTTAAATACCTATTATTTCCCGTCTGCTTAATGCCAAACAGCAGGCTAACTTTTACATTGGTTCCTCAGCATTTATAGGTTTCAGAGTAGCAGCCGTGTTAGTCTGTATCCGC